TTCACATTATACTGACACCGCGTCGAGTTATCACCTTGAGTTGTGTTTATCCACTTTTCTGGTGTCACCGTATCGTGTCCTGCCTCAACGCCAGGACACCGGTTCTGGGTGCGGACGGACACATTACGTGCATTCGCGCTCACTCTCAGATTCGTGGTAATTGTATCAATTTGATAAAAACACAACACTTTCCTCACTGTGTTCTAATGTGTGCGTAATCTGCTCGTTATTTTTACACTCCTACCCTTTCTCGTAGTACTCCGTGGCTCACTGGACTTACTTTCACTGTTCAGTGATATGTTTTATCTTCAAACATTCGAGAAGATCAAGCCAACGAGCAATGTGGAAATGCGTCTTTTGTGCCACACAATTTTACTGCTCTTGGCTCGAACGGTGGACCGGGTGGGGGCGATCGCTGATCAACGTTCTCAGTCCGTTGCACGTATACAAGTTCGGCAAACGTTTTGCCTTCTGCTCAATCGGTTGGAACTGGCCACCGCCTCGGAACTAGCCGCTTCCGTCCAGACAGAGCTTCAGAGAATGCGCCTGGCTCTGAACACGGCGGTAGATCGAATGAATAAGGACGCTTGATCTACCCTTACTTCACTGTGATCGCTCTGAGTTATTTTTCTCTAAACTCATGAACCATTTCCGTGTTTCTTCTTTGTGTATATAGATCTCACATACAGATTTCTCACTCACAGATTGTTCATTTTTAACTGAAATTTTGCTTTTCATAAACTGGGTGTTCCTGGGTCGAGTCAGACAATATTCGTGATAGCCACCGATCTAAACGTGAATTTCCTTCCGCATCACGAAATAAAATAGTAGTTTAGGATCTTTCAATATGCATGTCAGCATTTCAGCTATTAGGGAAAACCTAATTTTCCCTAAGAATTACCATAGACTCAATGGAAATGGACTCAGACTGATTGCCGGTGTTTTCTCGTGGTCACCGATAGGTCTCAGCGAAGCGCATCTGTTTGGTCCGTTCGCTTCACCGATGCTCTCGTGTTTTCCATTGGGAAAGAAAAATCTAGGCCTAGCGCAACCCCACAAATATAGCACCGTTTTACATCATTTCACGCATTTTTCTTGCGCTTCCTATATACGCTCGCACTGTCTTGTCTTTTGACTGGAAATGATTCGGTAAAATAGACCGAAAAATACATCAGAAACATCGCTACTTTGGTCGCGCATGATACATTAAACTGAAACACAACCTTTTCACTTGTTTCCTGTCGAAGGCAAACCGTCTGGGTGTTGAGCTATAGGTGAATCACAGACAATTACACATTGATACGCGACATAGGGGAACGCCGGATCAATGGCGATGGCGCACTGGTATAGTCACTCATCGGCATGCTTTGGAACCTATCGTCCGAGGTTCCAGCCCCGTCGCCGCCACCCAACTCTCGTGGAAGATAGCTCTGCCGTCGCTTTGTTCAATACCACACCTAACCAAGTGGGGCCTTATTTGGTTCGCCACTCCAAGTACCGGGGCTAGAGTATCAGATTTTCATTGTTGGACGGCAGGTCCTCGTGACCATGGGGCTTTCCCTGTCTGCTGTGATATAAAAATAAAAGAAACAACAGTTGAATTTTTTCAATTACCTTGACAAATCAGGCTAGCGGAAGCCGGTCAACGATATAACTTGAGACATGGATACGCAAAGACGCTCATAAGAACACACACAAGCGGTTCCAAAATGCTGGTGCTGTTGATGATCTAAAATTGCACATTGTTCGCTATAACGTGAAATAGTAGTAGTTGTCGCTTTGCGCAACCTGATTTGTTTCAATCACTACGCAGTTGGTCTGCCTAAATCAATCCTATTTCAGTCGTCCAGCTTCGGGTACTTCGGACCCTACCTGCCAAATCAAGTACTACCCCATCGGTGAAAAAACGCATTGATCGAAGCCGCAATAGCGATCGATAATAGACGTGATATGTGCAGAGATATTTCAAAACAGAAATTGTGACTCATCGGGTCGATAAAACACATGAGGAGGGAACCAAAAGTGGTTTCACGTGCAGTCTTATAAACAGTCAACTAGGCGTCAAGGTATACATGACATGTCCACAGTCTACGTACAATTATCACCAACCCAATCATCCATTAGGGCTGAGAAACGCGACCCGTAACTCCTTGTTAACAGAGAACAACCAACACGGAATGCGCTCTTCGACGTACATCGCCCACTCACATCGTAGATTGTGAAGATCTGCCCCCTCCCACTCTCAAAAAAACATCCTGATCACAGGAATAAAGGAGTTGCAAACAACTGTTCACGATCCATGCTGTTTCCCCGATTCAACAGAAGCTGTCGAATTTGAAAGCATATTCTTTCCTCTCACTTACATTCTGAAACTGTCCCTTCCTTTTCAGTCCTCGCTCTTGGTATCCATGTATTTTCCCCCATACTCCTCGTCACCCCCAATCGATTCCTTCTTTGGTGCTTATTCCAGATCCACCCCATGAGTGAACACGGTCGACTTGTGTGTGTGAAGGGGGGGGGTCTTTCGTCTCCCCTCTTTCTACACTCCAAGTTACCAGTTCGCCGCCGGGCACTCGGTTTTCTTTATCCTCTTTCACCGTTACTGCTGTAGGTTTCTGTTCTCCTGTGAGATTCCCATCTACTCCCATTTCGTTCACAGACGAAGGATCAAGCTACCAATCACCCTTATCCAAAGTCCGAGCCTTGACGACGGACTGTTGAATTCCAATCGACTTCTATTCCCTCCACCGAAAGAAAGACAGTTAGGTCCTGAAAAACTTTCCATTTATCATTTTCTCCCTAGCTAAACTTACACAGATTCAACTAAAGGGTCAAAGCCTCGAGTAATGTTGAGCCTTTCTCAATCTACGTCCATCATTGCGTACCTTTTGGAAGATTATCCTCGTTCTGCACTGAGGTGTGCAATTGTAAGCAGGTGAAAACACTATGACCCAGTCCAGTGATCCGACCACTTGACTATAGTCACCTATGTACAAGAAAGGTAGCATTACTACGAGTGGACCAACAGCATAGTGAGTCTACGATTCCAATGCAAATGTTACATTTCACACACGACTGAGTCCAGTCTGCGTGCTAAGCAAGTGAGAGCACAACAATCTCAAAAAAAGGTTCCGTACTTCCCTTTTTGGCGGGCTACTATCAGGTTACCCAAGTCAAAGCAGGTGGAGTTTCTTGGGGAATTCACAACCGGAACCCTTGACTAACCGATTTTTGACCTGCAAGGCGTCGAGTTTGTTCGTAAACGTTAGTATCCATTGAGGACTTTGAACTGCATCCCATTTCCCTTTGACGATGTGCAGATTACGGGAAAACCGATGGGAAGGATCTGTCGTGTGGAGTAAATCAGCGTGACTTTTGAAAAAATCTACGCCGACAACTTATCGCATCAAATGAGACCTACCGTCCGGCATGCATCTCCTTATTAACCAGAACGTGTCGGAAATTCTCACTTTGACCAATGGATAGACACCAACGCGTTCCGTTGAACTTTACCCCGAGATCACACACACTCTTCTGAATAATAAACACCAGTTTTTTCCCTATGGCATCCAATCTCATTCGACTATTATTGTTCGTTGCAACGACATTTTCCTAGTAGTCACATTGCATTCAGATAGCAAGACGAAGAGTTTCAACCACGCTGCCTATCGACAGTCTGTCTGTTTCTATCTCTCTCGCTCGGTCCCGTCAATCAATAAACTATCCATTAGGACAACGATAACTTCGAAGAATCATACTCTATTTGGATAGAAAAATAGAACATCGGTCATCAAGCAGTGTGGTTTATCAATCTGATAATTGGCACACGCCGGGGGTGTGGGGGGGGGGATGGCATGAGTATCGGGAAGATGAAGAAATAAGGCGAATCAAGTTACACACCAATCCGTCACAACTCCATGGCGGATTCTTCCGCGATGGGTTCGGGACTGGCCACCGTATCTTTGGTTGCTTCCGGCTCCGTCGATTGCTCAGGGAGAATTATGCGTAGATAGGGATGAGAATCATTCACCGCGCCCATGGCGACCAAATCTGTGTACAGTGCTGCATACGTCTGATGAAACAGAAGACCATCACCGGATACACGGCGCCAGTCAGCCAGGATGGAACCAGCCAACGGATAGAGAAGTACCCGAAATACGGTCCTGGGTCCATCGGCGTTGCGAATTCGAACCTGGAAAGCAATAAAAAGTCAGAAGTGATGGAGTTTAGAGAGATAAACGTCAATCGCAATGATCGAAACACCACCTCATTCGACGTAATCGACAGGATAACCGTGAACCACAATGCATGCATCATTAAGCGTTTGAAAGTCGATTTGTGGTTATTCTATTAGTCGCATCAGGGTGAGCAGCGTAACAAGCATATATCCGCCCCAAAAGATCGACAGTCGTTGGGTCTGAAAGGCGACGACAAACTTCACAAATAGTATGGAACAATACCTGAAACGATAACCGTAGACAAGCATTAGTGTCTAGAAATAAAGTTAATCACACTATGCTAGAGTGAAAACGCAGCCTAGGTATCGGGACATGTAGACGTGCAGCATACAGTAATGTCGTCCAAGACAGTCTGCAATAACAGAGGTGGAGAACCTGCTGCTCTCGACGCGAGGAAAGCCATTGATGAAATTTGAAATTCACTTTTGTAACGAAAGAGTTAAGTTCAGTAGAACAAACAAAATCGCGAGCTTGCGCTCCGGTGGGTCCTAGTCTTGATAACTATCAGTCTGACCAGAAGGTTTGCTCAAGAGATTTGCAACTCCCGTAACTCGGGAACTGTACAAGTGTGTATTGCGGATTCGATGACTAACACCATTTGGTCCAGTGTAAGTGACGGAGATCAATCGCCACCAATGACCTGATTTAGAACACATTCGTTTTCAATAACTCATAATCATGCCGTCACAGATTATATGGGGAGAAAAGAACCGAGGGGTTGGAAGGAGAACAATAGGATGTTAGGACTAGTTCACTTTGTGCGCGAGCATGGGCATATTTCAAAAATGATCTGATTGTCGCATGTCACCCCGTAAAACACCAAGGTCAATGAATGATAGTGAAGCTCACTCGTGCATTTACAACACAAAATGAAGAAGAGAGAGGGAGACGTACGAGAAGATTCCCGGGTCCCCGAGTTGTTGCATCCAGTTGCCGGCGTTGCACTATCACAGCACGAATTACCTCCATTGTGTGCTCGAGCGAGGACAGAGCAGAGAAGAATCGGGTCATACGTTTCATCAGGCAGGAGAAACTGAGTCGGACATCCTCGGGATTAGCACTGCTATCGTAAACTGCCTGGCTTGCCTGAAAATAGAGCAGTATGAATAGAATCAGTATTTCTAAGCAGGAGAAATTCCTCGAACGTCAGGTTATTGCAATGTGACCTATGCATAAAAAAAACACATGAGCAGTTTCGCAATCTCCGTAAACTCAGTGTCCTCAAAAATATCGATTGCGCTGATCCAGAGGTCCGCAATTGGGAAGGCCTAGAGCGGCCTACATGATCAGGGTTTTTATACCCTTGTATCAGATCGTTGTTTGACCACTCTATTTGTTCCACCCTCAACCTGCTGGGGAAACCTAACTAATGGAATGCTTTACCAGTAGCCGAACCATCAGGACCCACACAAGTAAAGCACTTGCTCCAGCACACATCATTCTCGAAAAGCGAGATACAGTGAAGCGAACTACACTGATCGCTGCCAAGCTCACAATGTAGACATATTAGGTGATAAAGCAGAAGATGGAGAAGGATTGGGTCTAGTTTTTTATGCCCTTTTACTCATTTATTTATTGAGTGCACAAATATACAGTCGACTTTTAGGAAGGGGGCCGCGNGGGGGGGGGGGGGGGGCAGCGGTTTGAACCCGGGAGTCCCAGGTTGCAAGTTGGTGTCCTAACCACTTAGCCACAACCGCAATGAAAGTGAACCCCTACGGACAACACAGAGTACACAATCTAAGTGTGCACACATCTTTTCAAGCATCCGGACATGACAACAAGAACGCCATTGCTGTCGGTTAGTTGCCACGTACTGCAGTGTCTCCCACAAACTAGTTACAGAGTCCTTTGAACCCAACCTCGATGACGGGAGACCTATTCCACCTGGGCGTTCTGTGCATTTTTCCATGCCTCGTTTCCATGTTATCTGGTGATCTCCACGTGGTTACTCCCAATCCGGAGTCGCGATTGCGATTAAGGTGTGGTGCGGTAGACGATGGCTGGGTATGCGCGGTACGTGTCCTAATCAGCGAAGCCGACTAATCTGAATTCGATGGAACAACGAATTATCCATCGAATCATTACCAAATACGCAACGCTTTACCTCAGAGTTGCTTACACGCTCGCTCAACCCGACCCGCACCAAACTACGTAAATATCGGCAGTCGAAGACATCTAGACGTCGAATACCTGCCACGCGAAAATTGAGGGTCTCGAAAATAAAGAGCAGAACTGACCGCATACTGGCGCAGTATGTACGATCTCTGTTTCAACGAAAAATCTCGTCTACAACAGCGGCACTCATTTGGGAAACCATCTTTCCCATCTGTCTAGTTCATCTTCTCAATCCCAAATAATCCCAGGTGCCTCCTGTTTACGATTCCATTGAATACCACTCTGCGTTCAATTAATATGGTCAACCACTCAGAGTCTATCAGA